ATTTGTTCAGTAGTTGAGTAGTACATTCAAAGCTTAGCCAGTTGTCAAGTGTCTCTTGGCTTTTACTTCCTACTGACTTCTCTTGGGTCCCCTTTGTGAATATGTATTGTTTTCCAGTCATCCAAAGATGTGTAAAGAGTTTATTTAGCATATTTGAGATGAGTAACTTCAGTGGTGTCACATTCAGATGCAAAAAGAAGTAAAAACCATAGAGGCATAAGGCATTGATGGAATCATAAAGAAATGTGCTTGGGAGAGGAAAACCTGAATAAGTTATCTTCCAAACATAAGTGAAAAAGGAACTACCATGAGGCCACTTAATCAATTGTTAATAAGATGGTTTGTGTGTATCCCTTAACATGTTAGGCTTATCACCTTATGATCTGGTGGCCTTACACATAAAGTTTAACTTTTTTACATGGTGTCAAATGTCCTTTAAGATCTAGCCCACTGTCTTCTGAGCAACCTCATTTTTTAATTTCTCATCTATTTTTATATCTTCATACAGTTCCCAACAACATTTTCTATGCCTCAATAACTTTCCTCCACACATTTCCACTTGCTTGATCATTTAAGACCCAGGGAAAATGTCATAAATTTTATTATACCATTTCTGATTTCTGAAAGTAAAGTATACTCTACTCCCTCATGTGCCACAAATAAGAGGGAAGGAAAGGATGTTCAATAAATGATGAATCTTTGAATAGTTCTAGCACAGAGTGAGATTCATCTTATATCCTTATCTCCCTTTATACATCAGAATAAATATTTGATGGACTAAAGATGAAATTTTAAAAAGTGAAAGACAGGAAAAAAATAACAGGGATTTTTGTTAAATATGATAAAGTGAACAAAAGAAAAGACTTCTCTTTTCTCCTCAAAACTCACTAAAATCATCTAAGTGCCTACAGGAAGAAGATAACAAGAAGCAAAGTAGTTTCTGCCCTTGAGTTCCAGAAAGATTCAAGTATGGGTCTTCAGCAATCTTTGAAGGCAGGGATATAGGGTTGGGCTAAAAACAGGAGGTTTGGTTTAAAGGAGCAGTTTGTATCCTGGAATCTCCTTCCCTACTATAGGACCCTTTCCTCTCCACTGCAGAAACTGGAGCAAAATTCACACTGCTGAAATTGAACCAGAGAGGCTTTGAACACTGGGACATTAGACATAGATGAAAGCGGCGGTGAGCCACTGAAAAAGGCAAGTTTGAGAGGTGTCAAATTAAAGTCATAGTATTAATTAGTGGGCTCTCCTGGAGTTCTGAGAGGCAAGCTTATGTTATACTTTTAGACCCCAAAAAGGAGGATTTCTTTCTTATGAAACTGACCAGCCCTAGACAAAGGACTTTTAAATGCTGATATATGGATGTTGATCAAAGAAACAGCCACACCTTACTCAAGTAATTGATTTTGAGGTCTATCTATTGATAAGTCCTGCCCCTACATGAAGATTTTCCAATCAGCTATTTCTTTTCATTCTTTTTTTTTTTGTCCAAAAAATTATTCTTCTAAGATTAAGATGCTTCTAAGATTATACTTAAATTTTAAAGCAAAAAATTATTCACTTTAGTGATGACTGAAGCCTGGGCCCTGGAGAGTTGTTCAGTCTCTCTCACCCCTCAAAGGGGTGTAGTGAAGAAACATCATTTACCAAGACTGGGTCTATAGCAACCCGATGTTGGCAGATTCATACTTCCACCGTTGGCACAGGCTGCTTCAAATTTTGTTAGCTGGAGAGAGCCAGTGCTTCAGAAGAACATAATGGATAATTTGACTTTGCAGTATAGATCATTTTTATGAGAATTATTATTCCAAGCTGCCTTGTGATCTAAGAGTTTTCAGTATGTAATTGACTTTTATTAAATAATCCATTTTGTATGTAGAAATAAAACCACTCAGTGAAAGAAAACCCCTCATACTTGAATAGCCTCATCTTCCTATTGGGAAAGGGACATAGAGGTCATTCTACTCTTCTGTTATTCAGGAGAAAAATAGGCAACAGAAAGTGAAGGCTGTGGAGATGACAGCACAGGATGATGACGGGCCAGCCAATGCCTGGGATTGTGGCTGCTGAGCAAAGATGATGCTGAAGAAGGTGTTAGCAGAAATGACAACTGAGGAGATGGTAGCAGATGTGATCACAATAGACTCAATGGCTACTGAGGCAGGGGTGATAAAGACAGTAGTAGTGTAGGTGACAGATGGTGATGTGGTATCTCCTTGTGGTCAATCCAATGGCAATAGCAGCCAAGATGGCTGCAGCCCAAGGACAACAGGCCTTATTAGTGATGAGAAAGGCAGCAGCCATTCTTTAGAAGAATATGACAAAGTTGCAGTGACCGTAGGAACTAGAGATAGGAGATAAATTTTTCACAATACGCAAACAATGAGATCGTTTCTCTTATGTCCCAAGGGAAATGTAGCTTCAACTAGGAAGAAAGTTCTCTTCGGGCATAACTGTTTTTCATGGTTGTAAGTTGTCAACTGAGCTCTTTTCAAACTTCACTATAAATAGTCTGGTCATCTCTAAGGTGTTTATATATGAATGGCCTCTTCTGTGGCCCAAGGAAATTAGAAAATGAGCAGAAACTAGAAACCATTTACTAGAAATAAGAACCACAGCTCCAGCCTCTGGGTTTCCTTTCCTGGCTATTCTGGAGGACTGGTCCCCATTCTAAACTTTCATGGATGTAATTGGAATTGCTGTCCACTTTAGGCTAGGCATGAAGAGATAACTAGAAAGAATGTTGATGGGGTTGAATACACTGTGAGCAGGGGCTACAGGCTCAGGAGAGGCTGGCTTCTTCCATGTTCTCTAATACTCTGACACTCTTTTTTCCACAGTGAATGAAAGTGGACCAGATCTAACCTTATACTATTTTCTTGTGCAATCACCCAAAGCTCCAACTCTTCAGAACATATTCTCTGGCTCATGCCATACACTGTGCCTAATACAGACCCATATGTGCCACCACCATATTCTGACTCCAGAATAATTGGTTAACTCTAATCTTAATTCTTCCTATATATGTCTTCTCAGCTGGGGATTTTAGAATGGGTTTACCTAGTCTTGCTCTTGAAAATGAAATTTTTAAAGTTAGGAATACAAATCAAGTTGTGTATTAAAAAAGTATATATATACATATTTGTTTACAATGACCAGTGCTGGTAGGAGATCGTGATTGAGACTCGCATCCAAGCAGCTAAGGGTCAATATGGTCTTTGTCACATATTTTTGACCTACGATAAAATCAAGAGAGGAAAAAAAAAAGCCTATCAGAAAATAATGGAGGCACAGTGAGCCAGATTGGGGAGTGCTGTACTGGTGACATTTAAGATCTTTAGAAAAGAGCCAGTGTCCAGGCAGCTGATAACTTTGGGTCATTAATTTAGAGCCAGCCACTCTCCAGACAACACTATGGACAAACCCTGATCCTTTTCTCTCTCAGGAAGAAATATCACTTTCTTCCCTTCTTTTCTACTCTCATCCAGATACTGCCAATCCTTTCCCACCACACATCAAGGATCTCAGTCTCAAAATTAATGTGAAGGGCTTAAGGCTGGGATGTAATAAGCCTCCTTAAATGCCACAAGTCATCTTGGAGAGGGGGAGGAAATAGAAAGAACTGAGCATTTACTTCACATTCTCATTGCTGCAGTGGTTAGCTTATCCCACATTTGAGAACATTCCCAAATAGAAAATGAAAACTGATATGAAACAAAAGTGTCTTTTAAATCACACACAAAAAAGCATTCTGCCTGAATAGTCATGAAGTGAAAAGTGGTTCAATTTAGAACAGAATAATTTTTGCTCTTACTATGTCAGTGTTTGAACTACACATAACAAAAGATAACATACTACCATGAACAATTTCAAACAGGAGGGAGACTGAGTGTATATGAGTATTTTGGTCACATTATGTTTCATGTTTTGGGTAACATGTTGATTATGTGACCCATTCTTACACCAGTACAGTAAGCAGACTCTCATAGAGTGAAATGTCCTCATGGCTCTACAATATTTATTTGTATTAATTAACTATTGCTATATAACAAATTACCTCACAATTTAGTGGCTTAAAATAACAATGAATATTTATTATCATCACAGTTTCTGTGGGTCAGAAATTCAGGGTAGTTCTGGCTCAGGGTCTGTCATAAGGCTGCAGTCAAGATTAAATCAGGGGCTACAGCCATCTGAAGGCTTGATGGGGACTGGAAGATTTGCTTCCGAGGTGACCAACCCTCATGGTTACAAGTTGGTGTTGGTTGTTGTCTGGAGGCCTCAGTTCCTCTCACGGGAACCTTCCAAAAGTAAGTGTCCTCCTGACAGCCACTCCCTCAGAGAGAGTGATCCAGAATACAGAAGTGGTAATGCCTTCTGTAACTTTGTGTGGGAAGCCATACATTATGGCTTCCATTGTATTCTAGTTTGAAAAAAGGTCAAGTCAAGCCTACAATGACGAGAAGGAATTTAGGCTCCAACTTTTGAAAGGAGGCATATTAACTAGTTGAAGGTAAACAATACTGATTATAAACAGTTTCCTCATGCCTATTTTAGATACAAAATCTTTTTTCTCTTAATGGTGGACATATCTCTTCTCCAGGTTCCAGTTTTCAGCATCTAACTCTCAGTTATTTTAAGGAAAAGAATAACGAGGAAAGATACTAATTACTAGGTGCTGGTGGATGGTCACTCTTGCATA